GTGCTTCCTTTCCTTCCTTGTTGCATATAGTCGCCGGAAGAGATTGGGCGGAATGCGATCCCGAAGGTTGCTGCGATGGGGCAGGTCTTCGAGTATAGCGGAAGATGCAGGGAGTGCGATTGGGCATGAAGAAAGAAGCGGCTTGGGGTTTCTTCGCGAAGTTGCACGAATTTGCCCATTATTGAAGATCAAACCCCAGTTTTAAAATGAACAAAAAAAATCCCGAAAGTTTGCGTGTACATTTTCCGACAAAAATTACAATTATTTCGATCAACCGGAAAATACAGAAGGGAAGATAGTCTTATGTTCTTGTTGTGTGCGAACTAAACAGTTTTACTGGGTGAATTTCGGGAGGAATAATTTTTTTTTGTTTGCTAGTCGATTCATTCGAAGCAAAATCCGCGATTTTGCGCCGCAACGTATGAATCACCGTGTTCCCTCGACGAAATGAGTATGCATTGCTGTATTATTAAAAGATATTTTTGATAAAACATTTGCCTTGATTTTATGCACGAAGGAAATGAGAATAAAATACAAGAACTAATTTCATTGCTTTGAAAATTCAACGCACATCTCGTGGAAAATCGTGAGGGTCAGTGCAAAAATGATTGAAATACTGTATTCGAAGAATGATAAATTTAATACAGCTCCCATATTTTTTATTCAAATTGGTGGATGAAAAAATTGATATACTGTATTCCAGGAAAGTTTCTCGAGCCTTTCCAAAGAGGCTGAAATAGTGTTAAGGGAATAAAAACGAAATTAGGACTAATTCTGTGACGTGCAGTTTCATATGTGGATGTTCGAGTTGGTTGTAGAAGCCCTGTACTTTGTGTTCATGTGTGAGGAATTGAGGATAATGAAGTCAAAACAAGGGGTTTTTGAATTCTCTTTTTCATGTTTTTCTGAATTATACTTTTAAAGCGTCGAAGATCGTATGAAGCGTCGAAAGTGTTGTATGTCGAACATATCTATTGCATATGTCGAACATATCTATTGCATATGTCGAACATATCTATTGCATATGTCGAACATATCTATTGCATATGTCGAACATATGCAATAGATATGTTAGCATTCTTAAACTACATTTTTGTTGCCGTACAACCTCTTGATTTCTCGACAGATTTATTTTCTGGAAGGTTGAGATTTTTATTCCCTTCCTGCAAGGACCTTTCAATCAGTTCAAATTTTCAAAAAGCTTCAGGATTATCTGTTGGGAATTGAGCAAATCGTATAATAGGTGTACAGTATTAGATAGGGGAGAACCAGCTTTCGCTAGACTGAGTCATCGTGTTTTTTTTTTTTTGTGTCCACAGTTTGATTTCGGAAAGGAGATTTGTTTGCAAGTGAAGATTAATTTTCATCAAAGAATTTCACGTGACTCGTGTAAATTGGGTGTAAAAATTGATGTTATTTTGAGGTATAAAAAAAAACCGATGATCGACCTTAAAGCAATAAGACCTGCTCTGCGTGAATGATTGCCGCAAATCCTTGAAAAATGACAACAACAAATTGTGCAACTGTTACTTTACTGCAGGAGTAGGACATTGCCTGATTTCAAGTGCGACTTTCACAGCTGTGCTCAGGATTTTTCAAGATGCCCGATTGTAAAATAGTTTGAATAGTTCAGTGTACAAAGCTTATTTTTTTCATCGAAGTTCAAGTCAACGCGTATCACTTATATATTGTATTTTGTTTCACTCATCCCTGATAATTTTATCTCAAGACTAAGTAAACTGAAAATTGATGCAGGAAACATGTGTCGCGAATTTTATTTTTCCTTCGAACAAGGATTCATTAATACATTATTGATGTACCTTCCCCCAATTGTACCCGATATTTGTGCTTAAGAGCTCTCGCGTGTTTCCATCAATTGCTCCGTAGCATGAAGCATTTCGCAACAGTATCTGAGTGATTCACTTCTCAAGGTTTTCTGCAGCACGGCAACCTTCTTTTGTGCTATTTTATCACTTCCAAAAAACGCCAATATTTTCCTGTCGCTTTTTGGGGTACACAAAATAGCCAAGCAACACCCGTATGCAGGACCATTCTGCATGTGGCTTGAGAAATTCAACTCTGTTTACAATCACAGCAGGACTCAAATTAACCGGAACTGAGGGCTGGGCTGGGTTACCTTGTGTCTATTTTGTTTTCTTCAGATAAACAAATACAGTACGTTATTTGAGATATACAGTATCTTTGGGAAACTCTCATGTGATCAGTAAAAGGAAAACCTGACGTAGTTAGGCCAAAAACTCCTGAAAATTCGCGAGTTTATTACCGTGTACTGAGACGATCAGAAGAAAATATAGCGAAAAAACTAAATATTGTACGGTTTACGGAAAGCGCTGTTGACTCTTTTAAATCCGAAAAATTCAGAAATTTAGAATATTGTGAGCTTTGTCACCCTTATTTTCATTTAATTTTTAAAATTTTCAAACACTCCTACTCTAGAAATATCAGAGGAAGCGTCCAAATGGAAAGCGATAGTAGTTGCTGTACTGAATAAACTCTCCAGTTTTTCAAGGTATTTTACCCTTTTGAATCGGTTTAATACACTTGAATACTGTATCATCTTGCAAATAAATCCGCTCGAAGGGTCGCCGCTCCAGTCGTGGTTTGGTACACCACCGGAATGGTCGCATGGCAATGCGATTGCTCTTTTTCCGGGAATGGCGCCTCATTGACAAATTATTTTATTTTGCTTTTCTGTTTATTATTTTTATTACTTATTTTTGAAGTGTATTTTGTGAAAATAATCGGCGATTGATGGCAACGCCTATTTTTTTGTGTGCATTGTTTGAGATGAGTGACGGGGGTGAAAAAGCGTGATTTGAGGATACTCATTCGCAGAAGAGTCCGCTTTGTCCTTGACTCATCCCGAGCGACGTCGAGTCAGATTTGAATTTTTCGCTTCGCTGTGTTCTTGTGATGATGACCGTGCTGTTTGATTCCCGAATCGAAGAAATTCAAGTTTGAGAAACAAGTGTTCAGAATGTGCCGGTGAGTTCTCCAAACCAATACCGACTTCAGTGTAATTGGACCCGTTTTTTTTATTTCACAAACTTTCAGATATCAGTATGTTTCAAGATTGAGTTGAATTACGGTCCGTTGAACAATTTCGAGTTTCGCTTCATTTCTCATAATTTTGTTCTGTCTTTCTTTTTTTAGTTTCTGTGCTGTACTGTATAAACTTTCCAGTTTTTCAAGGTATTTTACCCTTTTGAATCGGTTTGATACTTTAAACGAGAAAAAATTTTTAGGATCCTTGTGGAAATGACTGATTGATTCTCGAAATGGAATCATTGTTTTTTTCCTTCAAAAAGATCTCGCTGGAATTGAATCGTGACTCTCATGAGAATTTCGAATTTCCTGTGCCTCATGACCTTTGTTTTCAGAAAGAACATTCTTGTTAGAAAAATAAATTTTTGGATGCGTGTCTCGTGAACTGAAAGCTAGTGGACGATTTTAAAATAATTATATAGGCCTGTTTCTTATTCTCATAAATTTTAAATCATGGATCGCTTTTACTTCCTGCCCACGGCTGAAAAAAGTCTTTCTTTCATGTGAAAACTGAAGGTAAAATCAACAGCAGGTAATACTGTACGTAAAAACATTCCAGTTCGAAAGCTTTATATTGGAACGGCAGCAGTACTGGCTTTTACCTATCACATCTTCGCGCGCGCAAAAAATTAAAAATAAATATAAAAAGAAAGAAAAAAATTCAATGGACTCCCAGGAATGAGCATCGGAATCTGCCCAGGAGATTTATTTGCGCACTCCTTTTACCGGTCATCTGCTGACGCACTCAGCTGCTTCTTTCCGCAAAGGTGTGCGGGCTGCGGTGAGAGATGGGCTGCGGATAGCGTTTCCTTCACTGGCTTGAGCTCTGTTGCGCCGCTCTGTCCCGCATGTTCGTATTCGGCGGACGCCGTTTGGGCGGCCTTTTTTTATATGTATGTATATCATATATATATATGATATACATAAATATAAAAAAAAGGTAATTTGGGGGGGGGGGGGGTTTGGAGACAGCTTCTTAGCGGGAAGAGTTGCATAAGTTTTCATTCAAAAGGTTTTGTGACTGTTTGATGACACTTAGGACAATAAAATGAAACACCATTTGAAAGAGAATTAAATGAGCTTTCATTTGGTATTTGTTTTTCATTGTTCTAGCAGTGCATACCGTAGTGCAGTACAATACCGTTCATCAGTGCTGGGACTTACTGGCGAAGTGGCGATGCGCGTAGTTCCGTGGCTCGCCGGTAGATGTTTACGCGGCTGACCGTAGATTTTCACGTAAGATGTTGATATTTCTTGCATTTGTGAGCTGAATTTCTAATGATTTGAGAAAAATTTTGCGCTTCTGCTAAAGTATCAAGATTTCAACGAAGAAGGAATATCTTGGGAAGGTTAGCGCAAGAAATGAGTAAATTACTGGAATTGCTCTGGAAAGTCGTACGAGGGAGCGCTTACTTGTGACTTTTAAGTATCTTTCAAAACTGATGGAAATTTAAGCAGTGCGTCCGTACACATGTTGTATATTAACATTTGTTCCCTTTTTATATGAAGCATAAAAAGGGAGCAGATCTTAATATACAAAATGTGTTTATTATTGTGTGTATTAAGCAGTGCGTCCATACACATGTTGTATATTAACATTTGCTCCCTTTTTATATGAAGCATAAAAAGGGAGCAGATCTTAATATACAAAATGTGTATGGACGTACTGCTTTTCGAATTGCTAATATGTACGGTTTTATCGAGACGAAAATATTTTTTAACAAGCCGTACACCTTGTTCTGTATGTATATGGTAGTGAAGAGTTTTTAGGAATTGATGATAATGATTTAGAATCTAGCTTAATTTTCAACGGAGATATCCTAATTCAAAAAAATCGGTTCAATTTTTTTGGCCCACCCTGCATATACTGTATATATCTCATCCCCTTTACTCTTCTCGGTATCCCTGTCTTCGTTTACTTCTTGCGTTGCGGCGACGACGACAAACGCAGTGGCCACGAGGCGGCGAAGGAGGCGGCGGCGGCGGCTCGGTCCGCGTTGCCTCTGCTCTGTTGCGAAGGGTCGCCGCTCCAGTTGTGGTTCGGTACACCACCGGAACGGTCGCATGGCAATTCGATTGCTCTTTTTCCGGGAACGGTGCCTCATCTACATTTAATACATTTAATTACGTTCGTTTCTCTGAAAAGGATCGAACACGTTCGTAACAACCGCAGTAATTGTACAACATGATGTTTGTGTCGTGCAATAAAAATTGTGCTTCCATATTTCGCCGAGTTTAAATAACGGTTTTTTTTCCAGACATTCTGATACCATCACAATCAATTGATATTTAGATCGACATTTTTTCGAGCTGTATTGAATTCCTTTCAAATTCAAGTGTATCATGGCTAGGTTATTGCGTTTCGTGTGTTTGATTGAGCAGGCGTTGAGTCCCTTTTCCAGACCGTTCTGCGGCTTTAGAAACGTCGGGGGTTTCTGGAAAGTTCCGTGAAAAAATGACCGTTTTTCCATTTCAGTTTATCAAAGAGATTCAAGTGTCTTTGTGAGTGCGTGAAGGAATTCTGAAAGTGTGAAGGACACGGGTTTTGTCGAATCGTGATAAAACGACGGACCATGCAGGCGGAAAACTGCAAAAATTGAAGGAATTGTTCAAAGTGTCGGAGTTTTTTTTTAGTTCTTCAAAAATTGACGTTCGTGTGGATTTTGTGCTGCTGCTGTTCGCTTCAGTTCTTCGCTGCTGATTGCCCTGGAAAAATCCTTGCTTCGGAAGCCGAGCAAGGTAAGGAAAAAAAAAAACGTTATGTACACCGAAAGCCGATCTTGGTGAGGCCCAAAAGGAATTTCTTTCATACGCGTTCCTCGTTGAAAAGCGCCTCAAGCACTTAATCGTGCCTAAGCTCCCACGAAGAATTTTTATCATTATTTTTGGCGTACAGATTTCACATTGTTCGTTTCGCGATTGTGACCTTGACTCCTGGGTGGCTTTCCGATACTAACAAATAAGGTTCCTTTCTTCGAGACGGGGAAAAGCAAACCCCGGTGGAAGTAATTAAAGAAACTAGATTCTCAAACTGATTTTCGCACCGAAGTATGGCACGCTTTGGAAAGCATCTCCATCAATTGCCCTGCCCTGATTCCATTCCTTCATGTTGAATATATGATATGCTGTATATTTGTATATTCCCGTTTATTCTTGCAAAATGGAATAGTTCAATCTGTCGAAGAAAATTGGCTCATCGAAGCAGAGCAGGTGGTTGAAGCCCAACGAGGAAATACTTACAGCTCGCAAGCACGATATTTGTTAATCATGCTCTGCTTCTTGATTCTCCAGAACTTTTTCTCTTCGCTGGAACAAAGCCTGTTCATGAATACTAATTCATTTTCCTGAAATAAATTGGCTTCCTGGACAAGCAAAAAAAAAATGAATAAAAATAAAAGCGACTTTGCTTCTAACCGTCAGCTGGGTCACTGCATAGTTTCCGTTTGAAAAGAGTATATGGACACCGATGCGACAGTGGGACAATGCTTCCCTCATTTCGCTCATTTGCTTGATGAAGTCTCTGTCGTGCGAAGAAATCCTCTTTCTCCCCACGCCACATTAAAAAAAAAAAATAAATATCCATTGTTCGCGGCTTATTCTTCATTATTATTCAGCGTGAAAGTCATTATTGTCGGAACTCTTGATTTCCTACGCGATTTCGGGAGAAATGTTGAAGTGCTTTTCAGCCAGTGCTCCGGAAATCCTCAAGGGCTCCGCGTGATCTTCTGGGGGGGGCTCCGCGGACACTCCAAATGAATATACAAATGAAATTCAATGCGCCCAAGAGTTTAAGAAAAAAGTTTGAGTACGTTTTCAGTTACGTGAATCTCCTGCGAATGTGATGAAAGGGCTTGAAAAATCGAAAGTTGGCTTCTGTATCCCAAGGCTGCGCAAAACGAAAAAAAAAAAAACCTGCCATCCAAGTTGATGAGCCTCCCTTTTTAATTGCCTTTTTCCATCAAGAACTGCTAGTTCGTTTTCAAGATGGCCAACTGCAGTTCTGACTATATATATTTCCTTGGTAAGAAATAGAAAGAAAAAAAATGACAGAGACGAAATCTATGCAGGTAATTTTTTTTTTCTTTTCTATAAACTATTTTTTGATGAAGCAGGAGCTCGGGCGATTTTAATGCGGAACTCTGGTGCTGGCGAATTTCGAGGTGGAAAAAAAAAGAGCTGCAGTCGGTGCTAGGGATTTTATTTATTTTGTTGTTTATTTCTTCGTTTGCTGTGATATGGTTAAAGATAGAGAGAGAGGAGGGAAAGAAAGAAGAAAATAAGGCGATGCGAGGTCCACGACGAAGACCCACGATCTTCGCGGTGTCTGCGATCTGGAACGTGGAAACCCGCGCGGCTGTCTCGGGTGACTTGGGAGTGACCTTTGTGCTAAGGGACCCACAGCCTGCATCCCCCCCCGTATTTTTATTTTATTTTGTTGCTGTCGTTTTCCTGCTTGAAATATTTGCGCTGGTGTTGGTGAAGATAGCGACATTATCGCAGTTTAGCAAAGCCAAACGTCGACTGATGGTAGCTGGGAGAAGTGGACGAGAGTGACGTTAGAACCAATCGAGTGAGACCCGAAAAATGTTTTTAAAATGGAAAAATTCTTCACGTCGAAATAAAATGAAAAACCGTTTATGAAGAAGGGACTGTAAAATATATTCGTTAACAAAATAAATTCTTAAATTCTGCAGTACCTTATTTTTTGTGCATACAGAAAACCCATTCAAAGAAGGCCTATGGAAAACTCGGGTGCGATCTACTTACTCCTATTTATGAACTGCGGGAATCTCCTCTGGGTGGTCTATACTATTCAAAATATCGTGAAATTTATGAAAACAACTAGAATTAGGCTTTGCAATAGCTCACTTACGACTCCGAATACGGAACGCAGCACTTCCATTGACTTCAAAATGACCGGTACTGTTCAATTCCTTTTTTTTTCTTGTTCTTGTAATAATTTATGGGTCAAATTCTGCGTATATGCCGCATTTCCACCAAACAATTTTCAAGATACGTTTTGAGAAGCTATTCTGCATCAATTGGAAACATCCAAGCAATTTTACATTTTCTTATTTTGTTGGAAACTCCACAAGAAGGGAACATTTTAAATTGTCCTGTGTTCAGCGTCACATATGAAAAAAACCTGCGTTTACTGACTCGCATGCTGAATTTTTTTAAATCCAGAGGAATATTTCTAGTGGAAATATTAAAGAATTTTCCAATGCCTTGGTGTCTATTTTTCAAAAATTGTTTATATGGTAGGCAACATTTTTGTGGTATTCCTGAACCGGTCTCATGTGATCTCAGGTGGTCAGATTCAAGACAAAACTATCATGTCTGACAAGTTTAAATTTTCATATCTCGAAATTGGCTTCGCATTCAAAAATTACCGAGAAATTGCAACAATATTCATTATATTTCAAGTTTCTTTTTTTGGCGTGTCTTCCTCTGCAGGTTGTTAGGTTGAATCTGGCGGTTAAGAAAATGTTTCAAATGTTTGTTGAACTAATCTTGAAAAAAAGCCTTCTTCGTGATGTAATCCACTGCATGAATTACGATCGAAGCAATCTAATACTGTACAGGTTTCTGTAGAGCAATTCTATTGATACAATGGTTCTTTCTTGGGGCTCCATATATACCTTGTACAGTACAGTATTTGTACTTGAACATCTGATGCACTGACTACGGTATTCTCCATATTCTGTATAACAAATTATCTTCCAGACTTTGGTTACCAGTTCCTTGGAAATACCGTAGCATTCGTTTATACCGAATTCATCATCCGCAGGCTTTCGATTAATTTAAGAATACCGAATTTCGNGTTTGTTTCTTCAGAAATTGAAATTACGGCTCCTCCGATTGCCTCCTTTCACTGACAATATGCCAACCAAATGGCTCACTCGGTATTGAAAGCAAAGAAAAGGGGGCACGTTTATTAAAATAAATATGAAAAAAAAAACTTGCGATAACCTGTTTTCTCCGAATGTCCGCTCAGCACTTTTGCTTCAAAGCGCCCCACATTTTGAAAAATCGTGACGCATTCGGACGCAACCTGCTGAGTGCCCCCCATGTATGTGTGTGTGTGTGTGTGTGTGTCTCTGTCACGATTCTGATCTGGTTGTTAAAATCAGGAAAATAAAAGAAGAACAAACTTTTGAAATATAATGCTTATCTTCCTTATTTTTCTTCACTGACCGAAACTGGCCAAGTGATAAATAAACTAAGGCATTTTACTGTATTACTGTATTTTTAAATGGCCCTTCTGAGCGATTTTTCCCCCATCCGAAGGAATATTCTTTTATGCAAGTACAGTACTGTAGTGTACTTTTTACTCAGCCTTCCCGGGGATGAATATGTAGGAGGAAGTCAAATTCATAGGCGAGGGCTTTCGTTTATGGTTCACTGGGTATCAGTCTGTCTGAATAAATCAAAAGATATCAGCGTTATATAAACGATGCGATGATTCTCGAGTGAACTTGTGGACTTGATTCTCAGTGCACTTCTTCCAGTTTTGTCATTTCCGCTTGACGATTTATTAAAAAAAAAAGTCTTTCCCCGAATGATATATTACAATATATTTTCATTTCATTCGAAAGGCATTTCATTCTTCTTCTTTGGGGCAGGTTTTAATACCCGAGGAAAAGTCATGGGGAATGACTGCATGAGAAGCGAGGCGAGTCTTCAAGGTCTTGAAACTGGCGTATTAAAATTTTTTTTTATTCGTGTGAATGCCTTGAAGCTTTCATGTTTAAAATTCATGAAGAATAGCTATGGAAATGGCTGTACAGTATTATAATTCTTGGGATGTGTACTGAATTTGACTCAGAAAGGTCTGGAGAAACTTCGATTGCGTTTTGTCTTGGATTTTCTGCTTTCCTTTTTGTTTTTGTTTTTTTTCCGCAGAGATTTTTGCTTGCCATTATTTTCTTTGTTCTTGGCTATTTTTTGGAAGTAACATTCCGTGGTATTTCCGTTGAGGAAATTTATGTTTCGATGTTTTCAAAAATGTAGTCGTTGCGTATTTTTAAGGGGTCTGCGGGTCACTATCGTTCCGTTATTTTCATATCCGATTTACTCCATTTTTTCATTCCTATTACCGGTATTTCGTTTAATTTCTCTTCCATTTCATTTACTGAACTTCACTACCAGAACATACCTGGAGACCCATGTGAAGAATTCCAGGGCACCGTTACAGAAAAACGTTGGATTACTGTGCTCGACAGATTGAATCAGCTTCGTAGAGCTGTTGATGTCCCTAGAAAATAATGCATTTAGTCATCCTAACCCCCAGGGGCTGGAATCGCGCCTAGGTTCAGCCCTCCCCCAATAACGTGCAATCCGTGCATCATTCACTCACTATAGTATACACACGCTAGTTTATTTGCCGCCTCGAGGCGGCCTGACCCACACGGTTACCCAGATTTTTATACAGTCGCCGCAGCAACGCCGCCGAAAAAAATAAACAGGGTTTGCCTCCACCACTGTCACCAAGTCAATTCCACGTGTAAAAGAAGTCCCTTGTTATCGTCGGCGATGTGACGCTGTGCCACGGGGGCGTGGAAAAAGGATTGCATAATTCCTTGTCGTTGCCCGCCTGCTTCGCGAGTCGGAGCACAGAAACTGAGCGATGATGATGACGATGGAAAGACAGACAAAAACGGGGGGGGGGGGGGGGGGGGGGGGAGAAAAAAAAAAAAAATTGCAATGATTGCCGCATTTATTTCTTCCTCGATGCAGTCCAGGACCTGGGCTAATGAGAACCGCTGGAGATGATCAGGAATCACCGTTAGTCACGATTGACCTCATTAGGGAAGGGGGGAGACTGAGAAATAAAAAATAAATTGCCTGGCTTTGTAACTGCATCTTCTTCGGAAAATCCGTGAGTCAACGGAAGAAATGCCACTTTTTATACAGTAGAATCTCGTTGCAACGAAGCTGTTGCGAAAGGGAAAACGGATTGATCGTTATAACGAGGAATTCGATGTAAAGCGATTTGAATGAAATTATTATGTCATTGAACAGGTATCTGAAGACTAATTTTGTTGTAACGAATAATTCGTTATAAAAAAATATTCTCTGCGACGAGATTCTACTGTACTTTAAAA